GAGACTTTGAATATTGGACGCCACGGTCATTAACTCCCTCGGCGAGTACGCAGGAACGCGTGGGTTCGACGCCGACGCCTGCTGGTAGATTTTGGACTTTCCGGTGTGTCTCTCTCTCTCTCTATCTCGCCCCCCGTGGTCGCGTGGATTTTTCTCCCGGGTCCTCCGGTCATTGCCCTCCACGTTCAGAATGAACGTCCACGCGTTTAGATTATTTGTCTGCTGCTGTTCTACATGTTACACGCGATGATGATGATGATGAGCCACCACTTCGCTGAGCTATCATTGGTGATGGCCAGATCGCTTCTGAACAAGAGCTATACAGCTCAGAGGGCCCTACCTGGTAAAATAAAACGTAGTTTTTGAGTTGTATTTCTCTTGTGTTTGTAATTAGCGGAAAATGCACGTGGCGCTGTTCAGCTGTTGAACACCGCCCCTCCCCCCCCGCCTCTCCCCCCGCCTCTAGAGTATGGGCTATAGGGTATAGAGTATGTGGCATAGGATATATCGAGTCTATAGGGTCTGGGTTTAGACCACTCACGAGCATAACCGCACCTCGTCACAATACCAAGAGGCTAACTGTGCACAGGGTCTGTGGCAACCAATGGCATTGTTCATAATTAATTAGATGTTTGGGTTCGGCCAAGAAACGTAATTGTGGCCTGATGATGTGTCATCGAGAACCTTCACCACCTGACACAGCCAACCAAATTGAATTGTCACGTGGTGTACAAGCGTCTAACAATGCGCCGATGATTATTTCAGCTCACTGACTCACCCCACTCACTCACTCATTCAGGCTCACTCACTCCACTCACTCACTCATTCACTCACTCACTCACACGCCTACCCAGTCATTCACTCACCCACCCACCCGACTCACTCACTCACTCACCCCACTCACTCATTCACTCACTCAGACGCTCACTCACTCTCACACGCCTACCCAATCATTCACTCACCCACCCACCCAACTCCCTCACTCACCCCACTCAATCATTCACTCACACGCCTACCCAGTCATTCACTCACCCACCCACCCAACTCCCTCACTCACTCACCCCACTCAATCATTCACTCACACGCTCACTCACTCACCTACCCACCGACTCCCTCACTCATCCACTTCACCCACTCACCCACACCACACACTGGCACACTCGCTCACAGTGGGCGAGTTCAAAAGCAATTCTCACGACCAAATTCATCAGCAATGAGATAAAACAACAACAACAACAACGGTTGTCACTAAAATGTCGCCCAGAATCCTCAAGACAGGATCCAGGAAGTCAGAGTTAAATCCAGGATGTGAGATTAACAATCCGTTTGGGCTTGCTGGATTAGCTCCGGCAGGACTGGAGCAGGGAAAACAATCCGTTTAACGCGTACCACTTACTAGTCGTAGTAGACTTTCACTACCAATATTGTCCGTAATAATACTTTTTTTTATAAATATGGGTTGGATCGCATGAACATAAATGTGTTGTTAAACCCGCCACCACCCGACATAGACGATTAGTAAGGGGTTTGTCACGTAAAGAAAGCGTGGACAAATCGGTTACTGGTTCAGCACTAACCGCTTGTGTGTTTGGAGAGTTAACCCAGTACAACATTTACAATTATAGTGTAGTGTATAGTAGTGTAGTGTATAATATAGTGTATAATGTAGTATACTAGTGCAGCACTAACCATTGGTGTGTTTGGAGAGTTAACTCACCACAACATTAACAAATGTAGTGTAGTGTATAGTGTAGTGTATAGTGTAGTGTATAGTAGTGTAGTGTATAGTAGTGTAGTGTATAATGTAGTATACTAGTGCAGCACTAACCATTGGTGTGTTTGGAGAGTTAACCCACTACAACATTAACAAATGTAGTGTATAGTGTATTGTCCTAATCTTTATTTGAAGCATTTGTGACTGCAGGAATTCATATTCTTTGCTTCTGTCAGTAAAGTCACGTAGATAGAAAAAACAACTAATAAATCACGACGTATCGATAGCAACACAAGCCATCGTCTGCAGGTGATTTATATAAATATATACAGCAGGCGGACTGCTGAGGAGGAAATGTAGCGAGAGAGCTGAAACAACTAGAGCAAGAGTTATAGACGCGTTGGGTAAGTGGGCGGGTGTGAGTCTGGGTGTGAGTCTGAGTGTGAATGTGAGTCTGAGTGTGAGTCTGAGTGTGAGTCTGGGTGTGGGTGTGAGTCTGAGTGTGAGTCTGAGTGTGAGTGTGAGTCTGAGTCTGAGTGTGAGTCTGAGTGTGAGTCTGAGTGTGAGTTGAGTCTGAGTGTGAGTGTGAGTCTGAGTGTGAGTCTGAGTGTGAGTCTGGGTGTGAGTGTGAGTGTGAGTCTGAGTGTGAGTCTGTGTGTGAGTCTGAGTGTGAGCCCGAGTGTGAGTCTGAGTGTGAGTCTGAGTGTGATTCTGAGTGTGACTCTGGGTGTGAGTCTGAGTGTGAGTGTGAGCCCGAGTGTGAGTCTGAGTGTGAGTCTGAGTCTGAGTGTGAGCCCGAGTGTGAGTTTGGGTGTGAGTCTGAGTGTGAGTGTGAGTCTGAGTGTGTGTCTGAGTGTGAGTCTGAGTGTGAGTCTGAGTGTGACTCTGGGTGTGAGTCTGAGTGTGAGTCTGAATGTGAGCCCGAGTGTGAGTCTGAGTGTGATTCTGAGTGTGAGTCTGAGTGTGTGTCTGAGTGTGAGTCTGAGTGTGAGTCTGAGTGTGAGTCTGAGTGCAAGTCTGAGTGTGAGTCTGAGTGGGAGTCTGAGTGTGAGTCCGAGTGTGAGTCTGAGTGTGAGTGTTACTGTGAGTCTGAGTGTGAGTGTGTGTCTGAGTGTGTGTTTGAGTGTGAGTGTGAGTCTGAGTGTGTGTCTGAGTGTGTGTCTGAGTGTGTGTCTGAGTGTGAGTGTGAGTCTGAGTGTGTGTCTGAGTGTGAGTCCGAGTGTGAGTCTGAGTGTGAGTCTGAGTGTGAGTCTGAGTGTGAGTTTGAGTGTGAGTCTGAGTGCGAGTCTGAGTGTGAGTCTGAGTGTGAGTTTGAGTGTGAGTCTGAGTGTGAGTCTGAGTCCGAGTGTGAGCCCGAGTGTGAGTCTGGGTGTGAGTCTGGGTGTGAGTCCGAGTGTGAGTCTGAGTATGAGTCTGGGTGTGAGTCTGAGTGCGAGTCTGAGTGTGAGTCTGAGTGTGAGCCCGAGTGTGAGTCTGAGTGTGAGCCTGGGTGTGCGCCCGAGTGTGAGTCTGAGTGTGAGTGTGAGCCCGAGTGTGAGTCTGAGTGTGAGTCTGAGTCTGAGTGTGAGCCCGAGTGTGAGTCTGGGTGTGAGTCTGAGTGTGAGTGTGAGTCTGAGTGTGTGTCTGAGTGTGAGTCTGAGTGTGAGTCTGAGTGTGACTCTGGGTGTGAGTCTGAGTGTGAGTCTGAATGTGAGCCCGAGTGTGAGTCTGAGTGTGATTCTGAGTGTGAGTCTGAGTGTGAGTCTGAGTGTGAGTCTGAGTGTGAGTCTGAGTGTGAGTCTGAGTGTGAGGGTGAGTCCGAGTGTGAGTCTGAGTGTGAGTGTTACTGTGAGTCTGAGTGTGTGTCTGAGTGTGTGTCTGAGTGTGTGTCTGAGTGTGTGTCTGAGTGTGAGTGTGAGTCTGAGTGTGTGTCTGAGTGTGAGTCCGAGTGTGAGTCTGAGTGTGAGTCTGAGTGTGAGTCTGAGTGTGAGTTTGAGTGTGAGTCTGAGTGCGAGTCTGAGTGTGAGTCTGAGTGTGAGTTTGAGTGTGAGTCTGAGTGTGAGTCTGAGTCCGAGTGTGAGCCCGAGTGTGAGTCTGGGTGTGAGTCTGGGTGTGAGTCCGAGTGTGAGTCTGAGTATGAGTCTGGGTGTGAGTCTGAGTGCGAGTCTGAGTGTGAGTCTGAGTGTGAGCCCGAGTGTGAGTCTGAGTGTGAGCCTGGGTGTGCGCCCGAGTGTGAGTCTGAGTGTGAGTCTGAGTGTGAGTGTGAGTCTGAGTGTGAGCCCGAGTGTGAGTCTGGGTGTGAGTCTGAGTGTGAGTGTGAGTCTGAGTGTGCGCCCGAGTGTGAGTCTGGGTGTGAGTCTGTGTGTGAGTCTGAGTGTGAGCCCGAGTGTGAGTCTGAGTGTGAGTCTGAGTGTGAGTCTGAGTGTAAGCCCGAGTGTGAGTCTGAGTGTGAGTCTGAGTGTGAGTCTGAGTGTGAGTGTGAGTCTGAGTGTGAGCCCGAGTGTGAGTCTGGGTGTGAGTCTGTGTGTGAGTCTGGGTGTGAGCCCGAGTGTGAGTCTGAGTGTGAGTCTGAGTGTGAGCCCGAGTGTGAGCCTGAGTGTGAGTCTGGGTGTGAGCCCGAGTGTGAGTCTGAGTGTGAGTCTGAGTGTGAGTCCGAGTGTGAGTCTGAGTGTGAGTCTGGGTGTGCGCCCGAGTGTGAGTCTGAGTGTGAGTCTGGGTGTGCGCCCGAGTGTGAGTCTGAGTGTGAGAGTGAGTCTGAGTGTGAGTCTGAGTGTGAGCCCGAGTGTGAGCCTGAGTGTGAGTCTGGGTGTGATCCCGAGTGTGAGTCTGAGTGTGAGTCTGGGTGTGAGCCCGAGTGTGAGTCTGAGTGTGAGTCTGGGTGTGAGCCCGAGTGTGAGTCTGAGTGTGAGTCTGAGTGTGAGTCTGAGTGTGAGCCCGAGTGTGAGTCTGAGTGTGAGTCTGAGTGTGAGTCTGGGTGTGAGTCTGGGTGTGAGTCTGGGTGTGAGTCCGAGTGTGAGTGTGAGTCCGAGTCTGAGTGTGAGTCTGAGTGTGAGTCTGAGTGTGAGTCTGAGTGTGAGTGTGAGTCTGGGTGTGAGTCTGTCTGTGAGTCTGAGTGTGAGTCTGAGTGTGAGTCTGAGTGTGAGTCTGAGTGTGAGTCTGGGTGTGAGTCTGGGTGTGCGCCCGAGTGTGAGTGTGAGTCTGAGTGTGAGTCTGGGTGTGAGTCTGGGTGTGAGTCTGGGTGTGAGTCCGAGTGTGAGTGTGAGTCTGAGTGTGAGTCTGAGTGTGAGTGTGAGCGTGCGGCTCCGACCTGTATCTCGCGTGCGTGGTAGACCACGATGAGTCCCAGCAGGATGAGGGTGGACAGGCTGATGAGGCACTTGAGCGCGAGAGAGATGTTCGACGTCTGTCAAGCGGCGACGACGACGACGACGAGGAGGAGGAGGACGAGGAGGAGGACGAGGAGGAGGAGGTCGTGGTGGTGGGCGACAGAACACAGCACACACACACGGCACACACACACAGCACACACACACAGCACACACGCAGCACACACACACACAGCACACACACACACAGCACACACACACACACAGCACACACACGCAGCACACACACACAGCGCACACACACGCAGCACACACACAGCGCACACACAGCACACACACACACAGCACACACACAGCACACACACAGCACACACACAGCGCACACACACAGCACACACGCAGCACACACACAGCGCACACACACAGCACACACACAACACACACACAGCACACACACACAGCACACACACAGCACACACACACAGCACACACACACAGCGCACACACACAGCACACACACAGCACACACACGCAGCACACACACAGCGCACACACACAGAACACACAGCACACACACGCAGCACACACACAGCACACACACAGCACACACACAGCACACACACACAGCACACACACACAGAACACACACAGCACACACACAGCACACACACAGCACACACACAGCACACACACACACAGCACACACACAGCACACACGCAGCTCACACACAGCACACACACAGCACACACACAGCACACACACACAGCACACACACACAGCACACACACACAGCACACACACAGCGCACACACACAGCACACACACAGCGCACACACACAGCACACACACACAGCACACACACAGCACACACACACAGCACACACACACCACACACACACAGCACACACACACACAGCACACGCATCACGTCACGAACGACACGAAGCACTCGACAGCGTTGGTGTAACCGCACGTGCGACTCTCCTTCGCACCGTACGTAGCCAGCCGTACTGCTGCGTGGCCAGGAAGCCACTGGGGCTACGCCACTTTAAAATCATCATCATCATCCAGATTGACGACCTCATCTCTTGAGAACTGACCTTGGTCTTTAGCTTGTTGTCCTTCCCCCGCGCCTGCGATTAGCACCGTTGGCTTACATACGGTGCGAAAGAAATTCAACATACAGACAAAGATCCCCCCGTATAGCCTTTAACAGAATGTTGGGGCAAGTGCCGTTTAGCGAGTAGCGCCTATGAAGGCCGGCACGGCACTCAAGGGGGTGGGTGGCAAACTACACGCCCGGCCGCCTTTGTCTCTCCAGTGGCAACGTTTAAACACCGTGCCAGGTACTCATTTTTGAGGCTGAGTCGACCTACACACAGAGTGGTGTACAAGCACACTTCAACAACAACAACAAACAACAACAAAACTCACCACACTCAGAGCTGTGAAAAATAAGGACCATTGCCCGAAACGTCAACGCATTTTTTATATATATACTATCAAGGCCGCATGGTTACTGAGGAACACGTCGATTCGTTTGTGGTGTCGCGTCTAGGCCGGCTCACGTAACGGAATGTATCGGAGGGGGATGTGGGGATGGGGAGGGATCACCTCCAACGTAGCCGACACAGCGGTGATGTGGTGATGAGGTGATGAGGTGATGTGGTGATGAGGTGATGTGGTGATGTGGTGATGAGGTGATGTGGTAATGTGGTGATGTGGTGATGAGGTGATGTGGTGATGTGGTGATGTGGTGATGAGGTGATGTGGTGATGTGGTGATGAGGTGATGTGGTGATGTGGTGATGTGGTGATGAGGTGATGTGGTGATGGGGTGATGTGGTGATGAGGTGATGTGGTGATGTGATGATGTGGTGATGAGGTGATGCAGTGATGCGGTGATGTGGTGATGAGGTGATGTGGTGATGTGGTGATGAGGTGATGAGGTGATGTGGTGATGAGGTGATGAGGTGATGAGGTGATGCAGTGATGAGGTGATTCGGTGATGTGATGATGTGGTGATGTGGTGATGTGGTGATGAGGTGATGTGGTGATGTGGTGATGTGGTGATTCGGTGATGAGGTGATGTGATGATGTGGTGATGAGGTGATGAGGTGATGGGATGGTGGAGATGCCAGGAGCGGTGCTGCAAGGAGTGAGAGGAATGAATGACAGTGAGAAGGAGTGAGGAATGAGTGACAGCGGGGAGTGTGGAATGAGTGACAGCAAGGAGTGAGGAATGAGTGACAGCGACAGGGAGTGAGGAATGAGTGAATGTTACAGGGAGTGAGGAATGAGTGACAGTGAGAAGGAGTGAGGAATGAGTGACAGCGGGGAGTGAGGAATGAGTGACAGCAAGCAGGAGTGAGGAATGAGTGACAGCGGGGAGTGAGGAATGAGTGACAGCGAGCAGGAGTGAGGAATGAGTGACAGCAATGAGTGAGGAATGAGTGACAGAGACAGGAAGTGAGGAATGAGTGAATGTGACAGGCAGTGAGGAATGAGTGATGGTGACAAGGAGTGAGGAATGAGTGACAGGGAGGAGTGAGGAATGAGTGACAGCGGGGAGTGAGGAATGAATGACAGTGAGAAGGAGTGAGCAATGAGTGACAGCAAGAAGCAGTGAGGAATGAGTGACAGGAAGAAGGAATGAGGAATGAGTGACAGCAAGGAGTGCAGAATGAGTGACAGGGAGGAGTGAGGAATGAGTGAACGAGCAGGAGTGAGGAATGAGTGACAGCGAGTAGGAGTGAGGAATGAGTGACAAGGAGAAGGAATGAGGAATGAGTGACAGCGAGCAGGAGGGAGGAATGAGATACAGTGACAAGGAGTGAGGAATGAGTGACAGGGAGAAGGAGTGAGGAATGAGTGACAGCGAGCAGGAGTGAGGAATGAGATACAGTGACAAGGAGTGAGGAATGAGTGACAGGGAGAAGGAGTGTGGAATGAGTGACAGCAAGGAGTGAGGAATGAGATACAGTGACAAGGAGTGAGGAATGAGTGACAGGGAGAATGAGGAATGAGTGGCAGCGAGCAGGAGTGAGGAATGAGATACAGTGACAAGGAGTGAGGAATGAGTGACAGGGAGAAGGAGTGAGGAATGAGTGACAGGGAGAAGGAGCGAGGAATGAGTGACAGTGAGAAGAGGGGGAACTTAAAGGGGGGGGGGGGCTCAAGAAAAGGTGCTACAGAGGAAGGAAGGGAAGGAGTGGAGGGGCGAGCGAAGGGGAATGAGCGATGAAGAAGAGAGGGGGCGAGGCTTTAAGAGAGGAACGGAGGGAGGTTAAGGAGGGGGACTGCTTCATGTCCAGGGGCAGTGTTGAGTCTATGGGCAGTGTTGAGTCTGTGGGCAGTGTTGAGTCTGTGGGCAGTGTTGAGTCTGTGGGCAGTGTTGAGTCTATGGTGCAGTGTTGAGTCTATGGTGCAGTGTTGAGTCTATGGGCAGTGTTGAGTCTATGGTGCAGTGCTGAGTCTATGGGCAGTGTTGAGTCTATGGTGCAGTGCTGAGTCTATGGGCAGTGTTGAGTCTATGGTGCAGTGCTGAGTCTATGGGCAGTGCTGAGTCTATGGGCAGTGTTGAGTCTATGGTGCAGTGTTGAGTCTATGGTGCAGTGTTGAGCCTATGGGCAGTGTTGAGTCTATGGGCAGTGCTGAGTCTATGGTGCAGTGTTGAGCCTATGGGCAGTGTTAAGTCTATGGTGCAGTGCTGAGTCTATGGTGCAGTGTTGAGTCTATGGTGCAGTGTTGAGTCTATGGTGCAGTGCTGAGTCTATGGTGCAGTGTTGAGTCTATGGGCAGTGTTGAGTCTATGGTGCAGTGCTGAGTCTATGGGCAGTGTTGAGTCTATGGTGCAGTGTTGAGTCTATGGGCAGTGTTGAGTCTATGGGCAGTGCTGAGTCTATGGTGCAGTGTTGAGCCTATGGGCAGTGTTAAGTCTATGGTGCAGTGTTGAGTCTATGGTGCAGTGTTGAGTCTATGGTGCAGTGCTGAGTCTATGGTGCAGTGTTGAGTCTATGGGCAGTGTTGAGTCTATGGTGCAGTACTGAGTCTATGGGCAGTGTTGAGTCTATGGTGCAGTGTTGAGTCTATGGGCAGTGTTGAGTCTATGGTGCAGTGCTGAGTCTATGGGCAGTGTTGAGTCTATGGTGCAGTGTTGAGTCTATGGTGCAGTGTTGAGTCTATGGTGCAGTATTGAGTCTGTGGGCAGTGTTGAGTCTATGGTGCACTGTTGAATCTATGGGCAGGGTTGAGTCTATGGTGCAGTGTTGAGTCTATGGGAAGTGTTGAGTCTATGGTGCATTGCTGAGTCTATGGGCAGTGTTGAGTCTATGGTGCAGTGTTGAGTCTATGGTGCAGTGTTGAGTCTATGGTGCAGTGTTGTGTCTATGGTGCAGTGCTGAGTCCATAGTGCAGTGTTGAGTTTATGGGCAGTGTTGAGTCTATGGTGCAGTGTTGAGTCTATGGGCAGTGTTGAGTCTGTGGGCAGTGTTGAATCTCTGGGCAGTGTTGAGTCTGTGGGCAGTGTTGAGTCCATGGTGCAGTGTTGAGTCTATGGTGCAGTGTTCAGTCTGTGGGCAGTGTTGAGTCTGTAGGCAGTGTTGAGTCCATGGTGTAGTGCTGAGTCTATGGGCAGTGTTGAGTCTATGGTGCAGTGTTGAGTCTATAGGCAGTGTTGAGTCTATGGTGCAGTGTTAAGTCTATGGTGCAGTGTTGAGTCTATGGGCAGTGTTGAGTCTATGGGCAGTGTTGAGTCTGTGGGCAGTGTTGAGTCTGTGGTGCAGTGTTGAGTCTGTGGGCAGTGTTGAGTCTATGGGCAGTGTTGAGTCTGTGGGCAGTGTTGAGTCTGTGGTGCAGTGTTGAGTCTGTGGGCAGTGTTAAGTCTATGGGCAGTGTTGAGTCTGTGGGCAGTGTTGAGTCTGTGGGCAGTGTTGAGTCTATGGTGCAGTGTTGAGTCTATGGTGCAGTGTTGAGTCTATGGTGCAGTGTTGAGCCTATGGGCAGTGTTGAGTCTGTGGGCAGTGCTGAGTCTATGGTGCAGTGTTGAGCCTATGGGCAGTGTTAAGTCTATGGTGCA